ATGTCCTGCCCCTCCAATCTGGCTTGCAGAGCTTCTGCTGAAAGATCAGCTGTTAAACTTATGGGGATTCCCTTGTATGTTATTTGTTGTTTTTCCCTTGCTGCTGTTAATATTTTTTCTTTGTACTTAATTTTTGATAGTTTGATTAATATGTGTCTTGGCGTGTTTATCCTTGATTTAATCCTGTTGGGACTCTCCGCGCTTCCTGAACTTGATTAACCATTTCCTTTCCCGTATTAGGGAAGTTTTCAACTGTAATCTCTTCAGATATTTTCCCAGTCCCTTTCTTTTTCTCTTCTTCTTCTGGGCCTCCTATAATTCGAGTGTTGGTGCATTTAATGTTGTCCCAGAGGTCTCTAAGACTGTGCTCAATTCTTTTCGTTCTTTTTTCTTTATTCTGCTCTGTGGTAGTTATTTCCCGTATTTTATCTTCTAGGTCACTTATCCGTTCTTCTGCCTCAGTTATTCTGCTATTGCTTCCTTCTACAGAAGTTTTAATTTCATTTATTGTGTTGTTCATCATTGTTTGCTCTTTAGTTCTTCTAGGTCCTTGTTAAACGTTTATTGTATTTTCTCCATTCTATTTCCAAGTTTTGGATCATCTTTTTTTATCATTAGTCTGAATTCTTTTTCTGGTAGACTGCCTATTTCCTATTTGTTTGGTCTGCTGGGTTTTTACTTTGCTCCTTCATCTGCTGTGTGTTTCTGTGTCTTCTCATTTTGCTTATCTTACTGTGTTTGGGGGTCTCCTTTTCTCAGGCTGCAGGTTTGTAGTTCTTGTTGTTTTTGGTGTCTTTCCCCATTGGCTAGGGTTAGTTTAGTGGGTTGTGTAGGTTTCCTGGTGGAGGGGACTAGTGCCTGTGTTCTGGTGTATGAGGCTGGATTTTGTCTCTCTAGTAGGCAGGACCACATCCCTTGGTGTGTTTTCAGGTGTCTGTGACCTTATTATGATTTTAGCCAGCCTCTCTGCTAATGGGTTGTGTTCTCTGTTGTGTTCCTGTCTTGCTAGTTGTTTGGCATAGGGTATCCAGCCCTGTAACTTGCTGGTCATTGAGTGGTGCTGGGTCTTAGCGTTGAGATGGAGGTCTCTGGGAGAGCTTTTGCCATTTGATATTATGTGGAGCCGGCAGGTCTCTGGCAGATCAATGTCCTGAACTCGGCTTTCCCACCTCAGAGGCACAGGCCTGACACCTGGCTGGAGCATTAAGACCCTGTCAGCCACATGGCTCAGAAGAAAAGGGAGAAAAACAGAAAGAAAGAAAGAAAAATAATAATAAAATAAGTTATTAAAATAAGAAATAATTATGAAAAATAAAAAAATAAAAATAATTAGTAAGAATTTAAAAAATTAAGTAATTTAAAAAGAAAGGAAAAAGGGCTTCCCTGGTGGCGCAGTAGTTGAGAGTCCGTCTGCCGATGCAGGGGACATAGGTTCGTGCTCTGAGCCGGGAAGATCCCACTTGCCACGGAGCGCAACGGGAAAGGCCACAGCAGTGAGAGGCCTGCGTACCGCAAAGAAAAAAAAAAGAAAGCAAAAAAAAGAAAGAGCAGAGCACCCAAAGCAAAAAAGAGATCCACCAATGATAACAAGCACTAAAAACTATACTAAAAAAAAGGACAGACAGAACCCTAGGACAAATGGTAAATGCAAAACTATACCGACATAATCACACAAAGAAGCATATACATGTACACTCACAAAAAGAGAAAAAGGAAAAATGTATATATATCTATATATTAAAAAAAAAAAACACAGGAAGAGAGCAACCAAATCAATAAACAAATCTACCAATGGTAATAAACTGTAAATACTAAACTAAGATAAGCAGAAAATCAGAAACAAATTAGATGCAGAACGCAAACCCCATGTTCCACATGTAGATGTATTTCTAATGTATTTGTGGGTAGGATGGGGATCTCCACGTCTTACTCCTCCGCCATCTTGAAGGTCTCCCCTCTAGCATAGCTTTTTACATCTGAAAGAAAGGTGATAGAAAAAGTTCAGGACTTTGGAGTCAGTATGACCTGGATTTGAATCATCACTTTGCCACTTGCTAACTTGCAAGGGCTTGTTTCTTAATCTTTCGGAGTGTCTGTGTCCATATAAATTCTACATATGTTAAATAAAATGTTTCTGAATTTCAGTCATTCTAAACTATTTATTGAGAAGCTACTGTGAAAAACGCAAAGTCCTGACTCATGGAGCTTATAGCTTTTCTGATGGGGGGGCATGTCAGATAGTAAATAGACCTATAACTCTGATGTCTATTAGTAATTGCTCTGAAGAAAATATAGCAGGGGAAGGATATAGAAAAAGACCAGGATTGTGTGTGGAGTAGAGGTGTTGAACGTTATTAAATATAGCATATAGAAAGTCCTTATAATATCTGGTTTGAGGAGCGATCAGAAGGAAGTGAGTGAGAAATCCAAGCAAATGTCTAGGGGAAAGAGTGTTCCAGCAAGTAAGGGAACAATACATGCAAAAACTCTGAGGTGAGAGCATATTTGCTATGTTCAAGGAACAGTGAGGAGGTGAGGCCAGTGATGCTGGGGCAGAGATGTGTTTCATGGAAATAGCTGGAGATTAGGTCAGATATAGCCAGGGCCCAGGTCACATAAGGCCTTTTACAATATCTAGGACTTTGAAATTCATTCTGAATGAGATAGGAGGTCGTGGAGGGTTCTGTGCAGAGGAGTGACATGATCTGTTTTTATTAGTTTCATTCTGACTGCTGTGTTAATAATAGACCAGGCAGGGTAGGGGTACTTGTGGGAAAAGTTGGACTGGGAGATCAGTTAGGAGGTTAGTGCAGGTATTAAAGGGAGAGATGGTGGTGGCATGTCACATGGACCAAAGTGACAGATGTGGAGGTAGGTGGTTGTATTCTTGTTATATTTTAAAGAATTTCCTGATAGATTGGACAGGTAGAGAGGAATCAAGAACCACTGTGTTCTTTGTTTTTGTTATTTATTTTTGGCTTGTGCAATTGAAGGGTAAGGAAAAGGGTGGGACTGAACAGATTTATGGGAGACAGTGGAAATTCGAAGTCTGTTTTGGATGTTTTAAATATGAAATGTCTGTAAGTGGTAGATATGGATGTGGAGTTTAGGGAGGAGGTTGGCCTGGAGGTTAAAATGTAGGAGACATCAGGATACAGGTAGCATTTAAAGCCATGGGACTTGAGGGCCTCAACAAGAGAGTGACAATAGGTAGAATAGTGACAATAGATAGTACTAGACCCCTCTCTAGTACTTAGGGGTCTGCCAAAGGGGAGAAAGTCATCAAAGGAGACTGAAAAGGAGCAGTGGGAAGAAAACCAGGTGATGAAAGCATTCCAGGACGTAGGGATCAATTGTGTCAAATGCTGTTGGGTCAGGTAAGGTGAGGTCTGAGAATTATCCAGGGTACTTGGCAACGTGGAGGTGATTAGGGATTTTCATGAATAGCCTTTGTGGAATGAAAGCCTAATTAGTTGTAAGTTTAAGAGGAAATGGAAGAGAAGAAGTAAAGACAGAATAAAGACATCTCTTTTGAGGAGTTTTTTTGCAAAGGAAGCAGAGAAAGGGGAACTGTAGACGGGACACGCCCTTTCCAGTTTGCAACCCTCTACCCTGCCTTCTTGTCACACCAGGTTTACTTCATTCACTCATTGATTACCTACCAGGACCCTGTAGGTATCTGAGTTTTCACCTGTACCTTACACGTTCTCCGAGAACATGTAATCAAAGCATCTGGTACAGGACTACAAGCGGTAGTTGCTGTTACTGATCAAGAAGAGTAATAAGCAAAGGCAGCAATACGATAGAAAGATACTTGTCTAAGGAATGGAACATTTTAATTCTAAAGTGTCATTAACCCCAGAATCACTCAAGTATATACGCTACTATTTGAACCTTTCCTCATCTTCCAGAGATCGTTTTTTTTTTTTTAATGAACACCAGTGTGGTACACTAACACATCCTACGATCTTTCAATTTTTAAATTCAGTGAAAAGTGAGTATTTACTTTGAGCTATTTGTGTTAGATGCTAAAGGACCTACACGGCTATGCAAGTTAGTTCTTTTCTTCAAATTTATAATTCATGGGGGGTAATTACCAAAATAACCACAACTTTGGAGGAGTACAGTGTACTGATTGGGGTGCATCAAAAGGGGCTCCTGGGGGAGATAATATTTAAAGTGACCCTTTACACGTTGGTATGGTTCTTTGGAACAGAGGGCTTTGTAGGGAATAGAAGTAATACTAGTAAAAGCTTAGAAGCAGGAAAGCATATGTCTAAATAGTTTACTGATTAGTGTGGCCATCTTTGTGGCTAGTTCAAATTGCTGGGTGGTTATTTTAATGAACTATGTGCAAAGCAAATAGCACAGCCTGAATCTGGTTATAAAATAAGGTTCATGGGATTTGACTTTAGCACTATATGTACTTAATTAGTTTTAACTGTAGCTCTGATTCTTGAATACTAATCTGTTTCTGTAAAGATTTCCTAATTTTTAATTGAATTTTACATATTGTAATGAAAAGTTTAAAATTGGACCTGTGTCTCATAAACTGATGCTTTGGGTAAAATAAGAACTTTGTATTGATTACTTCCAATACTCAAAATATGTTAAGACATTCTCAGCTTTAATCCTGAATGATACATATTGTCATTGCTTTAATACTTCTTTATATGTTCTTTTAAGACTTAAAACAAGGTTCAGTTAGTCTTTGTAAAAAGCATTTTTAGAAAATTTGAAGAAAAGAATTTATGTTGTGAAACTTTAAAAGTAATTGCATAGTTCTTCACCTCTCACGTAAATATTCTAGGAGTTTGAGAAGAGATTGTAATGGAGCAGGACCCTCTGGGGCCTTCCTGAGGCAGACACTTCCCCCATATCCTCTGCTTTAGCTCCTCTCTGAAGTACCTGGATAATAGTATTCTGTGCACATTTCCTGAGTTGTTTTACAGATTTGTAACAAGATTACATGTGCCAAAGTCATTTCTTTCTGTCTTTAGGAAATGGAGTTATTTTTTCCTTCGAGTGGAGTTTGTGGGCCAGCAAACACTGCTAAATTTACCAGCTGTACTACTTGTTGCATTGTTAAGCCCCATGCCATCAGCGAAGGTAAGTGCTGTGTTGAATACAATATAGCCAATACATTTTGCTAATAGGAGCTTATTTTGTTAATGTTTGTTTTTTCTTGATATATTTTATATATAGAAATTAAAGTATAATTTTAATATTTTCATTCATTTTTTTTGAAGGCACATGAATAAAGGTGACATAATATGAGGGCAAAATCTATCTGAATCTGTATCTTTCTCTTTGTATCTGAGCATTTCTAAAAGGTGTTCCTTGGGTTGCTGATTATGGTCATGCTCGTCCTGTTACTGGTCTTGATTCCTTGACTTACTCTGCCTCCTCTCCTCCCAACCACATGACTGTGATTCACTTAATTCACTTAAACAGCACTCCTAATCTAGAACAATATCTACCATATCTGCAGTATGCCCTTTCTGAGAAAGCTATAGAAACTTCTTTTGGTTCTCTGTATCTGAAACAAAGTTCTTTGACTGATGTGTGTGTGTGTGTGTGTGTGTGTGTGTGTGTGTGTGTGAGAGAGAGAGAGAGAGAGTTTGTACATTTTTTCTTCATTTTCCTTCATCTGTTTGTTTTAGTCTGCTCAATGTATTTTTGTCAGCCATCCCAAATCCTTTTGGAAATGAGATGGGGCATAATTTAAAAGATCATCCTTAAAAAACTAGAATATACTAAATAATAGATGAATGAATGGATTTTTAAAAATTTCATTTTCTAAATATTATATGGGTTTAAATAATTTTTAGTCTTTAAAGATTAAAACTATATTTCATATACCCATATTTGACATGTAACAGTAGAGGCATATGAGTTAAAGTATAAGAAATTTTTGTTAAATCTAATCAGATGGCAGAATACTTTATTTAAACTTTGACATTTCAGGGCATTTTTTCCTTGTTTCTTTTTAAACCTCAATTTTAGGGATGCTTTAAAACCATTCTGAAATGAGTAGCTAACCCAATTCAGCTTAAACTGTGGCTACAATTAAATATAGTTTGAAGTTTCATGTTGAATTTATTATTAGCTTTACTTGGCCCCCTTTCAATTGCTGGTTTATGTTTCTTTTTCTATAATGATCTGATTTCCTGGTATATTTAATTTCACCTGTGGTCTAGAAGAAGAGATTTTTTAAAAAGGAGTTATGAAGAGAGCAGCTGAAATGGAACAGGGAGTGTTACCTTCTGTTGATTGTCCACTCCCCCAAAGAAGACCTGAATGGCTTGTTGATTAAGCAAGACTGAGTTTACTGCCTACTACAGTAAGGAGATCACACCTGGATGGAGTCTTAGTGGATTTCACAATGGAGAGGTCACGGGCAGATATTGTAGAATTTCAGGTGTGACCTTGAGATATGTAAGGTGGGTCTGTCAATGCGGTGATATGATTGAAATGGGGCAACATTTATGATATAATAGTTTAGAATTAGTAGAAACAGTGAGGCAAGGATTTTAACCAAGTCTTAAAAGTATTTTGTTTGATGAGTGAGTTATTTGCCCAGTTGAGGGAATATTGTGAACTGTTTGAATAGACTATTGTTGAGATAAATGGACTTTTGGGAGGTTCCTGAAGTGAACAATGAAGTTATTTAATGATTTACAGCTTTATCTTTGTGGGTAATAATTTCTTGGCACAAATGATAATGTCATGTGGATGTAGGCGGCCTTAACTCTTAGTCCTTTAGTTAATTTACATGGATGTGGTGATTCACTTCTGACTTCTAAGAGAGCTAGAAAAAAAGAGCTTAGTTTGTGGAATAGATGGTGGAAGAAAATAATAGGATATACTAGGATATTTGCAGTCTTTTTACATATGTAGATTGAAATATATTTTGTCATTTGGGGACTCAGGTTTTAAAAGGGAAGAAAAACAAGGTGAATTTTTCTGTTTTTTTCCGAACTTAAAAATTATGCAATGTGTTTGTTTTTGATGTCCTTAGTATTATTTATATGTAGTTAGTTTAATTCCATTGATGAAATGAATTATTTTTCCTCTGAAATCAGGCTGTGTAGGTTTGTATTCTGGCTCCGCTACTTACTAGCCATGAGGATATTGGATAAATTACTTAACCTCTTTGTACCATGTTTCCTCATCTACAAGATGAGAGTAATAGTATACCTTCTTCACAAGGTAATTGTAAGGTTTAAATGCACTTAATGTAATGGTTAGATAACTAAATGATTAAATGTAGAGATTAATGTCCTAAGCAGTGCCCAGCACTTACTTAAGTGCTGCATAAGTGTTAGACATTATTACTATTATGATTACTGCTCTATTACTACTACCACTACTACTACCAATATCATTATCTTTTAATTTTTAACTAAAGGTGAATGGCTCCTTAGAAACAAAGCAATAGTTTAAAATACTAACAAAATCCATCATCCACAGAGAGAAAGAAAATCCCTATTAGTGTGTAAGGAACAAAATATTTTATTTTTCTTAAAGTCTCGGTCTAACTTAAGCCCATGAAGTAGGATCATTGCTTCCATCTAGTCGATTCAGCAGCTATCAGCAATTACATATTCTGATCATCCATTACGGTTGGCACTGGGCAGGAGGTAGCCCAGGTAGCCAAATCTGGGAGAGCTGCTTTTGCGCTTGTAATGGCCAAAAAAATTAGCCTTTTGAAGTATTAGAACCCTGAAGTTTTGTTGGAAATTTTCCTTTCTTATAACAGATTTCTGCATTAAACGATTTTACTGCATTGTATGATTTTAGTTTCCTTCTCAGTAAAATGAGTCACGATGGTTTAAAAAGTTTCCTCTCAACCTTTAAACCCAGATATTCTATTATTCTGTGGAACTGTATTGAAAATTCTTATAAAAGAAAGTTATATTCTGTATCTCAATGTTGTGTTTTGGCTGTAACATTTCTATTTTCACGGAGGCTATTTCAAAGCAATTTTAGATGTGTAAAAGATATATAGAGACAGTTTGGAGGTTGTCTGTTTACATTTAACTAAATAGGAAGCAAATTACTTATTAGAATGTTTGCCAGTTTGTAAATTTAATGCCAGAATGGTCTCTGATACACTAACTGAAACAGGACTAGATCTTCAGCAAGATCATATTTATCAAGTTCCTCACTTTTAAAAATTGAGCTATTCTTACTCAGAACCTCTTTGAGAGTGTTAATTTCCACCCTGAATGGTAGTTTTGATGCTAGGTAGGCCAAGAGCTCTAGAAGAGACAGTACACCCTGTGGAACCCCCCTGAATTTGGGCGGATTGAATTGGTTAAGTTCCCAGCTTTTTTGTATTGGATTTCCTTCAAGTAATTCAGCTTCTGGGATACTATGGAAGAGCTGTGACATTTTTTGGTGTAGAGAGATTGGATTTACATATGATTTGACTTACATGTAGAATCTAAAAAACAAATAAACAAACAAAAGAGAAACAGACTCATAGATTCAGAGAACAAACTGGTGGTTGCCAGAGGGGAGGGGCATAGGGGTATGGGCAAAATAGGTGAAGGGGATTAAAAGGTACAAATTTATAGCTATAAAATAAATAAGTCAGGAGGTTGTAATGTACATGTAGGGAATATAGCTAGTAATACTGTAACAGCTTTGTATGGTGTCGGATGATAACTGGTTTTATTGTGGTGATTATTTCATAAGGTCGAATTGCTGTACACCTGAAACTAATATAGATTGTATGTTAATTATAAATAAAGAGATTGGATTTAACATTGTTAATCTAACTCAATTTCAGTAAAAATTCTTGGAGTGGCCCAGTTTTGCTTAGAATGTCACAGTTTTGGAGTTTTGTGATTGTTTTATTCTATCTGAAGGAGTTGAAGCTAATTTATAACAGATGCACCAAGTACATTGAACTACATATAAGACCCTGATTTTTTATGGAACTTAGCATGCATTTTGAAATGCAGAATTATAGGCAGTAAAAATATCTAATGAATTTGCAAGTTGTGGGAACTTTAAATGAAATCACTAATTTATTGACTTGAAAGGAATCTCAAGAGTTCTGTTAGTTCTACAAAAGAATCCCAATCTTCAGGAAGGATTACATTTAATGGTCCTAACGAAGTAGTTGCGCATTACGCTACTGAAAAAATTTTTTAGAAATAATGAAAGTTTACCTGTTAATATGTTCCAATGTCCAATAACCCTTAGAGGAAAATGAGAGTCCCTGGGATTGTCAGTTTTAATGAGTTGACTGAGGGCAGAGTGGAAGAAGGTCTCAAATCTTGTTAATGAGACTGTTAGAAAGTACTTTTCTTAAGTATAGAACAACAATAAAAAATTTTATTACTAATTGCAGTTCTTATTTATGGAGTGATAAGTACTTTACATGAATTATTTAATTCTTAAAACTGTAAAGGTAGGTACTGTTTGAAACATATGCCACAGAGGAGGAAACCTAGGCAGTGAGATGTTAAGTAACTTGCTCAAAGTCACACAGCTCTTAAGTGGTGCGGTTGAGATTTGCACCAAGTTTGTCTTCGTTTATACCATTCTTCATTCATACATATCACTTAGACCCTATAAATCCCCATCATCAAATTTGATTATTAACCCCATTTTACAGATGTGGAATCTAAGAATTAGAAGGGATAGGTAACATCTTGAAATCCAGGGCTGTTTGATTCTACAGCTGGAATTATTTGTGCCATTCCATGAATATTGAGGTCAATTGATTGTGGAAAGATGTTCTTGATAAGTATGAAGGGTGATTTTAATACTTTAAAAAATCTTAACATACTTATGGTTTAAGATGGGACCTGGAGAAATGACTGCTGTTCTGGACAAGGTAATGGCAGTTAAGAGATGAATAACAAATTATTGAGAATTGTAAATTTAGAATACTTCCTTAGAACTTTTCCAGTTAAATGGGAATAATGCTTTTTATATTTTTAAAGATGTTTAATTTGACTAAAACAGTTCTTGTTTCTTTTATCCTATTTTTATATTTCAAGAATCTCCTTTTCCTAGGTGTAATTTATTTCCATTTGTTTCAGGTTACTCTGTCCCTTGCTCCTGCACTCCAGCACTGCTGCCTGCCTTTC